CAGTACGACCAAAACCGCTTCACGTGTCATGATGTGGACTTCACCCTGAGGCTGCACAGCGCAGGACTGCTTGTCTGCAAGTTTAATAACTTCAGTGTCATGAAGAAGCAGATTGCCATTGGCGGATACAGGACATTCATTATCAAGACCAAGGTAGAGACTAATAAAGGATCCGAATTGAGGCAGTAGTTAAACACAAAACACTATCTAGAAACACCTAATGATGGTATTAAACTGCTCAAAAAATAAAGGGGACACTGAAATACATCCTAGATCTGAATAAAGGAAATATTATCCTTAAATACTTAGTTCTGTACAAAGTTTAATGTGCTGATAACTAATCCACACAAAATTCATCAATGGAAATCAAATGTATTAAGCAATGGTGCCTATATGACCTCCCAACAACGCCTGGGCATGCTCCTGATGAGGTGGCAGATGGTCTCCTGAAGATCTCCTCCCAGACCTGGGGTAAAGCATCCACCAACTCCTGGACAGTCTGTGGTCCAATGTGAACTTGGTGGATGGATTGAGACACCATGTTCCAGATGTGCTGCATCAGATTTAGGTCTGTGGAACAGATTGGTCAGTCCATAGCTTCAATGCCTTCATCTTGAATGAACTGCTGACAAATTCCAGCCAGATGAAGTCTAGCATTGTCCTGCATTAGAGCCAGGGCCAACCTAAAAATCATATCGTCTCACAAGGGGTCTGAGGATCGCATCTCAGTACCTAATGGCAGTCATACTAAATGTCACCCCGCACCATTACTGACCCCCTTCCAAACGGGTTATGCTGAAGGATGTTGCAGGCACCAGATCTCTCAGCAGAGGTAGCTTTCCTGCCAGACACAACAAACCTTATAACTACAGCTTGCATTGATGTGCCATCCTGGATGAGCTGCACTACCTGAGCCACTTGTGTGGGTTGTAGAGTCCATCTCATGCAACCACGAGTGCGAAAGCACAACCAACATTCAAAAGTGACTAAAACCTTAGTCAGAAAGCATAGGTACTCCGAACCTGCAGAACCACTCCTTTATTGTGTATCTTGCTGCTTACCAATAATTGCCACCTGTTGTCTCTTCTATTTGCACAACAGCATATGAAATTGATTGTCAGTCAGTGTTACTTCCTAAGTGGACAATTTGATTTCACTGAAGTTTACTTAGATTCAAGTTATATTATGTTTTTACATGATCCCTTTATTTTTTGAGCAGTGTACAATATGTGTAACTTTACTCTGAAATATTCTGCCATTAACAAGCATTTACCCCATTAGCGACTTCTTCTTTTCTTTTGCTTTTTCCTCAGATGTGCATCTTATAAGTCTTAAAACATTTTTATCTGCTCTTCATTACTCTAATAAATCATGCACCTTGGCTTAAGTGGGCCAAGGTGGATGAGTTAATTTCCTGCTTAATGGATGAGAAGTCAGTATACTTTTGGAGTAATTGTGGTAGGCCAACCTCTCCTGGAAAGGTTCAGTGCTAATGCATGTTTTCATTTACACTCTAATAATTTATAATATAATAATTTTAATATATAGTAATTTGGTGTAGTACAGGTACTTAAAAATGGCTTTCAATGATTTCCAGACTGATATACCCACCTTTACTTGATATTTTTTTAGATTGCAACATGCTTTCGAAGTCTTTTAGTTTACTGTGAAAAAAAATAATATTCTAAATATTTGGCAAAAATGTCAATTACCAGTGAAATTTAACCAAACATGCTGTTAATCCATGATTAACCAGGGGGACCCCCTTTATGTCAGATTGGGTAATATTTATTTAGCTAGTTATTTTTCCTTCATACATGAAATACTCATGTGAAAACAGTTTTTGTTATTTCCTTAGGTCACCTTGTCATCTATTTAAATGTATTTCAGTTTTTAAAGCTTCTTAACAAGAAGTTTAAAGAAAAAAAATCAGTTAGGGGGAAAAAAAGCTATTTCAAATCACATTACATTTTTTCTACATTTTTATAAAGGTACATTATCTCCTAATAATATTGTGTATTGCACACTTTCCTTTTTTTTTTAAAGCTGCAAACTAATTTGAATATAAAAGGTTTATCTTGCAGGCTGGCCAGAAATTAAGGGAAACTTTGACTGCTCTATTAACCCACCATAATACATGACCTTTTTAAATTATTTCATACAACTGGGCTTTAAATAACTTTTACAACTGTGTTGTTTTATCCAGATGACAGATGTCTCCACATCAGTCGGTCCCTCACAGTACATCTGTGCCCCAGACAGTAAGCATCTCTTCTTGGCCTCACCACCTCATCTGCTCTTGGAAAAATATCTCCAACACACCAGCCAGAAACTGTTTCCCCTCAGCACCAAGAACTACACCCACCCTGTTCTGTCTGTGGATTGTTACCTCAACCTGGGACCTGAGGTATAGACACTTACAGTACATCCATCTACACACATAATAACACATATACAACCACTGGTTGTCAGATATTTACATACACTCTATCAAAACATACATAACATTTCTTCCCTTACTTCTTATCTAAGATTAAAATCTCCAGAGCTAATCCACCAATTTAAGGATTAGGCAAAAATTGGTTTTCTAGATAAAATGTTTTGGAGTTGACATAATCTTAGGCTTGTTTTTAGCCCCACAGAAGACTTGTGGGAAGAGCTGAAAATGTGCATGCCAGTTGATTTGATTATCCTACAACCCTGAGACAGTTACTTGAGATCCAGTTTGGGGAACCTGGATCAAAAGCAATCTTACTAAATATTATGTATAGAAATGATTAATATATGTGAACTTTTAAATATAAAGCAAATGATCCAATAGAAATAATTTCCGTTACAATAAATGACCTAAAACAGTAAAAAGGTTGTGTCTCTTTTTATAAATTGTATGAAAATACCTGATGTAACCTGTGGATTTTTGATCACTAAATTCAGGTGTTGAAGCCATTAGATTTAAACAAATTGTTTTCGTCCTGCAGGTAACGGTGTGTTTTGTCAGTTCCAGACCTCACTGCGTTAACATCAACACTGCTGGGTTGGTGTTCAGTGGGCTTCTTCTCTGCTTTCCTGACACATTTGTGACCTCTGGGTTCCTCAAGAAGTTCACTTTTCTTAAAGGTACAGCAGCAGAGAGAAACTGGAAAAATCTGCTATTTTTACAGTGAACCATTAGAGAAAATTCATTTTAAAAGGAAAAACAGTAGGCAGATTGTGGTGTACGTGAGGAAATCTCAGGTAATGTCTAAATTCCCTTCTATAATTGTGATGTAGTGTTATTTTCTTTACATAAAAAAATATTGAAAGGAAATTTTTCTTACTTGTAATTTATGTAAAAATAAACACTAAAATTATTATTCTTGTAGAACCATCAATGAAGATGTGATGTGTCTTAATGTATCTGAAATGCAAATAAAATTCCGTTAAAAACTTTTAGAATGAAAGAATTAGAATGAAACTTATAAAACAAGAAAATATCACAATTTTTATGGCTCAAATTTTTATTTCTCTCTTTGAAAACTGATTAATGTCAAGTTTTTTGGGTATGATTCTACCACATCTTTCTGAAGCTCTCCCATCTTCATAGTGTCTGTGCCTGTTTGCCTCTGTGTAGGTGCAACGCTGTGTGTAATAGGAGCAGATCGCAGCTCATTGAGGCAGACTGTGGGAAGGCTGGAGCTGGAGGAGCAGTGGAGGTTTAGACTCAGCGACGAGTTTAAGACTGCCAACGCCAAAGAAGACCGGCCTCTCTTCTTCCTGACTGGAAAACACATCTGATTGAAGCAAATGGTCAATGGGAGCTGAAAAGGGCAAGAGTCCCTAGAAATACAGCAGAGTGTTTGTGTTTTAATAGCCCACAGCAGGACATTGATTGTGAAGCTGCTGCTTGAACTCTTGATGACAGGTAACAGGCTTTGCCATGATATAGTTTATACAATTAAATACCTGCATTAAGTATATTGTTTTAAAACCAAAGGCGTTTCATATGCTACCATATGTTTTGACGATGGCCAGAGATTTGGTGCAGACACAATGAAAACTTTAAGGTGGAAACAGGGAAGACACTCATTTGTGTGCAATGTAAGCCTATTTTTGGCTAACTTTATAGTGCATAGTTTTTAGATGCATGATGCATGTTTAGATGCATGTTTTGCAGATTTTTTTTTTTTTTTTTACAGAAAACATTTAAAAGTATATATTTTTAGTTATAGATCATGTAAAAAAGTACTTATTTTCTGTGTGCAGCTCTGTCCGGGTACAATATATTTTTTCTAACGTTTATATATGTAAGGAACAAATGTATTATTTTATAGCAACCTTTTCAAGTATGTACAGTTTTATATGTCTATTTGTATAAATCAACTCATATCTTGCATTTTTGTGTGTTTGATTCTGCAGTAAAGCATCAATCTTCCAACCTTTTAAACAGTGCAAAATTAATAGCTAATAGTCAGAAACTATACTGTACTACTATATTGTTTACAGGTCATTTTTTATCTCTTCAGTCCTCAGATCAGATGCTGTGTTTTTTTATGTGTGATCCAGCCCTGTTAATTGAAATACATTAACTAGAATATTAATCTATTTTGTAAGGGACAGTAAAAAATATGATGTAGTCATGCAGCAGAAGATGAGAACCTGAAGCAGCAGGGAGTCCAGTAACTGTCAACACTCTCAGATTTCCTCTAAGAACTCCATTCCCAGAAGGCACTTGTTGATAAGTTTAGTGTAAAACACTTGTCGCACAGGCTCAAGCTGCTTTCTTAAAAACAGATCACACAGCTTTTGGGGCTTTACATCTCCTGCAAGAGCAATTGGTCCATCGGATCTCATAATTTTAGAAAGGTTGACCAGGAAACACCTTAAGGGGACCAAATGAAGGCATTTTTTCAGGTGATGTTGGAGTTATAAATTGTGCCTGTTCCTTGATCACTGTCTTTTAATCAATATTCCTATGAAGCTGTCAAGCAGCAGTTTCTTACTGCAAAGCAAGCAATGGAGTCATGACCAGTATGGAGGAGCCGGACTTTAGTGGCACAACTGAGACTGAAAGCCCCTCTGACAGCTGGTCTTGGGTAAGATGCTAAAATAATATTATTGATAATTGTAGAAAGGAAGGTGTACGGTATAAAATAACAGTCCTGAATTTATCCCACCACGGAAAATGTACACTTAAATTAGTTCTTCAAGAAATATACAAACAAAGGTGAGTCATAATGGCGCATGTAAATATTTTTAAACAGCAAAGCCAGACATAAATATAGGTTTTACATATAGCTGTAAGGAATTCGAAGAAATTATGAGTATAGCTCCAAGAATTGAGATTTAAGCTGATTAAGCTCTACAAAGCAATCTGTACAGATGTCACTGTTAAGGGGAGAGATTGACGTCCAGTCCAATTACCCTCAGTTACTTTCCAAGAAAAGGCCCAGTGTGTTTATTGTTCTCTACTGTGGCTCTTGAAAATGCACACAGGACTTTAAATTCAAAGTTTTTGTGATATAAATACTGACCATAAATTATTTCAAAAGTATTTCCACATTCTGATATGTATACTCAACAATTAAGATAAAAAAGAACTGAAATGAAATTGATAAATAAGTTGTGATAACCTGGATGCATAAGTACAGCAAACCTTAAACAAATACTTGGTTTAATGTGTGTGTTTTATTTGTGTGGTAGTCATGTGACTGTCCTTGGTACAAGCATGATATGTCACAAGCTGTTCTCAGTGTACCCTGGCTGTGCAGATTATGTCAGTGAACCTCTCTGCAGTTTGATCCTGATATCCTCTGCCAACACAGATATTATATTTTAGGTATTGCATAATTTGTAGACTATTTACACTCAATGTGTTTCCCCTCCACATCACATCATTTTCATGAAAGTTGTTTTTTGACTTCCTAATAATCAAATTATTTTGATGAAAAACACAAAAAGTCTGATTATTTCAATGTTAATTTAATTTTATCAACATAGCTCCCTCCTGTCAAACAATAATCAAGCACTAGAATGACTGCACCAATTATTAAAACGTAATTTACAAACCACACTGTAAATATGTGCACTGCTCTGTTACTGCTGCTTGAGTAGCAGTGGTTTTGACATGCACATCTGCCACTCAAAGCCACCTAATCCATGGTTTCTCAGCCTTGGGCCTCAGTAGCGATTTTGGTGTGTGTCTCAAGCAGCTTTCTAATTGGCTAGAATAGCAGACCAGACACCCACCATCTCTGGAGTGATGAAATGAATGCATTGTTGACCTCAAAGGGGTAGTGCCTGGGAGAGATCAGGCAAGCTCCTTCTCATCAAAACAAACCCTGTTTTGGCCCCCCAGCTCTCACGTGTCTGAACCGAGGTTGCACGCCTGGGCGAAGTTTCTGGGAATGCTTTAAGGGGCACAAACATAAATACCCTGTAAAAATATACCAAGACATAGGATAAAGTTACTGTACACTGATATTTCCTAAGTTAGGTTTAAATTTCATTCTTGAGCTCTACTATTAAGGATAAATACTAATTGTTGTCAGTCAACTGCTGTGCTTTTTTGGGAAATTATGTGTAATTGCTACATTAGATTGCTAGACTCTTCAATACCTGTCTGTTAATAGTTGGATTATTAGTAAACTATTTTAAGGTGTTGATTTGTCAAATCCATGTCAGAAAACCTTGGAAAAAGTTTCAAAAATTGATTAAGATACTCCTAACATGTAAAAACATGTATGGGGGAGTGTTGGCCTAGTGGTTAGAGCAGTGTGCTTGTACTCTGAGAAGGTTGCAAGTACCTAGTTCGATCCCCACAGCCGGCACCCTGGGTCCTGAGCAAGACCCTCTGCCCCACACAGCTCCCCATGGCGCCACAGAATGGCAGCCCACTCCTCCTCAGTGGAATGGGTTAAATGCAGAGGTACATTTCTCAGGTGTGAGATCAATAAAGTTCAATTATTATTACAAGAAACAGATCTCAATGTTTGTTGACAGGAGTGTAGAAGCACATTAATTGGCATATTTAAAGCCAAATCTTTTGCACAAAAGAATTTTAAAAGTGATTTCTTAATTTCTTTGTGATTCTTTGGGTTTTTCCTATTTTTTTCTTTTTGTATTTATTATTATTACTAACCTTGCTTCTCTTCACCTCTGCTTTTTAAAATGTCATTCACGTCGTACATAAATAAATGCCAACCTCTAGAGAAATGTACTGTATAAAAATGGCACAAAAGTGGCACATACTTAGTGTGAGAATGAGCGGTGGAACTTTAGTGGGATGAGCCCTCCTAACTGTAGTTAACAAATATACATTATATTTTAACGTCTCTGTGGGACCCAGGAAAATGTCCTCACCTTCATATATTTTGAGTACTATAATGGGAAAGATGTTTGTCATTCTTTTTTAGACAGCTATAGTCTCATTTTAAATTGCATCACTGATGTGCGTGTCAGTTGCCTAAATGACACCCATAATGCAAACACTATCTGAATTCAGCACAACAGCTCCTTTCCTACCCTAGATAGTGTTCTTTTTGTTGACCATGCAGAAAGTGGAGGGATAGGAGCTAGGATTAGGAGACAAGAGCAACAATTTCATTAACTTAGTCCAGCCTAACTTAGCTTAGCCTTATTGAAGTATGGAAAGCGAGGAGAGGAATGCTGGTAAATGTTCCAAACACAGATCTTTTTATCACTCCATATGCTCAGTTTGCATAGTTTATCTGCAAAAAAAAAAAAAAAAGATTTTTAGGGTGAGTTACATTTTAAGTGATATTTGTTACAATACATCCATGTAGTTATACTTCTCTATTAGTTTGTACATGTGGTTATTTGTTAGGGCATTTTGATTTTGTTGTATGTTTGGATATGTTTTACATTTTCGGAGAGACTGAGTGGCTGCAGCAGTGGAAGGGCTAGGGAATTTATATTGTTTTTCTGGAAAGATTTCCATGTCAATGCTGTTTATATTATTTTTCCTGAACATCGATGCACCCATCTTCTGCCACTTATCAGCATTAAAGGAAGCTGGTGAAAGTCTGTGGGTGAAAGCTGGGTAAATCCCTGGACAGGTCACCAGTCCATTTCAGAGCCATACATAGAAATACAACCAAGCACCATCATCTTAAAGCATACAGAGTCTAATAATTACAGGGACCTACTGTATTAACAGCAATATTTTATGTATAGATATTTTGTTAATTTCTACAAACTGAAACTCTCAATCTGTATGTGTGCGTTGACTTAAAAATTGCATTTTATAATTACATATGAGCAGTTCACTTTTTTATGGAAGCATCCATGTTTGCGCTACAGCAGCACAGAGATGACAAACTACTAACTGTAGAGATCAGCATTATGATCAAATGTGACTGCAGCAAGTTAGGCCTTATAAAAATCTATGTCCAAATTACTAAGTAATATTTATAAAATTATTTATGTGAACAAACCTCATATCACTAGACAAGATAGGTGATGCAGACTTATTGGAAGCTATTTTGTACCACAACTGCCTCCTTTTTGTTGTAGAGGAAGGAGCGGCGGGGGGAGCTGTTCATGTCACTGCAGTCTGACTATTAGATGGTGCTAAAAACCATACACTGCAGCTTTAAGACACATTTAGTGGCATCAGCCTAACAGTTCGAGTTTAAGACTGTAGGAGGAAGCTGGAGTACCCGGAGAGAACATCCAAACTCCACTCAGAAAGACCGCATACTGGGAATCAAACCAAGAACCTTATTACTGCAAGGCAACATTGCTATAAATGGTGCCACCATGCAACCAGGATCAAATAATTCACCACACTATAAAAGGACATACTTTTTTGTTCAATATGTCTAACATTATTTCACATGTTGTTTTTTCCTCATGATGCCATCTGTTTTGTGAAGTCCCTGCTGCTAGAAATGACATACACAACATTATCACACACAACACCTGTGGATCGTGATAACTGCCAAAACAATCCATTTTATTTTCCTCAGAACACAGGACATCTCTCAAATTATTGAGGTCTAATTTCCAGGGGGAATTTGCAAACTTTAATCCAGCTTTGAGCTCTATTTAAAAAAAAATGTAATGTTAGAACTGTAAATATACAGTCATATGTTTATATTACTATTTTTTTATGTATTTATTACTGTTTTTCAAGGCTGCACTTTAAAAAATCAAATTGTCTAGAGCTGTTTTAAATGAAATTCCTTTTGTATACACTTGTGTATACAAAATGACAAAATAAGTCTGTCTAATTCGAAGTCTTTTGCTGTACTAATTTCTTCAAATGTAATTTATATGTAATTAATAATTACCTCCTTGTCCAGACGGCCCACATTTCATTACAATTGAACACAAAAAACAAAATATATTCTCTATACTGTAATATATATTTATAGATTACATACAATATGAAGACATCTTGCTTTAATAAGTGATTTAATATTTATAATCTTGATGCTTAAACATTGCAGTTCAGAATGAAAATGAAATTTAAATGTGGAGACATTTGAATTTTTTTGGCAAAAAAAAAAAGAAACGAGAAGAGAGAAAACACTGTGAGCTTTGAGGATGGATGAATGATAGGCCGACCAGGAGGGTCATAGGTGAAGAAGAAGGCCACTGAAACTGCAACAAATTAAAATATTAGTGAAGATTGAGAAAATGACGTTAGTATAGGTGGAGAATCCAGCCAATCCTCCTGCTATTTATACATTCTTGTATAAATTCCACTTCAAAGATATTAGATTTGGTAAGCAGAATGATTTCTGTGTATAATTGTTTGAACAAGTAAAAATAGCATATTTAGGCATTTTGGAAAGTATAGTTTAAAGATATATAATAGATGCACTGATATTTAAATGTGGGCCGATATCAATATTCAGCATTAATGTTGCCATTATGCCCCATAACCAAGATTTACGTACATAATTTTTTTCTCTGTCCTTTGGACCCACGAGAAACTGACCACAGTACTGACCTATGTTATCAGCTTTGGTTAAATAGCTACATTCCTGAGCTTCATCACAATCACTGTCACATGACCAGACAAATACCATGTGATTGATTTCATTAGTGGAATACAGTGGATAATTCT